CCAGTTCTTTTTGATAATCGAAATATTTTGCTTTTTTTTTTTTTTTAATAGGAGTCGAATAATATGCATATATTTATTATACATATATTTAACACACATATATTTAACACACTTAATGATCTTCCATATTGACAATTGACAGTTCTTATGAGTTTATATAATGCGATCTACAACTGTCGCAGCGAACAAATAGTAAAAATATAGATTATTGTCAATGACATCTCAAGAAAGTCGTTCTTCCAATTCCAATTCCGGGTGAGGAAAGTAGTAGATAGGTACTTTCTTCCTTGAAATTTATTGAGACGATCCGCGAGAGTTCGAATTCCGGTTACAGTGACGTATTCTTTCCTTTCTCGAGAAGGTAAAGAGTACCGTATCATTAAAAAAAACGTCGATGCTCCAAACCGAATATTGCTGCGAGGCAGAGATCTCTACTCGTCTGCATCTTTCTTTCTACCTTTCTTTCTCTCTGCTTCCTCTTTCGTTCTCGTTTGTCTTTCTACCTGAATTTCATGTTTCTGTCCGAAAATCAACCAAATATCAGTTGTTGAAAACGTACGTATTATTAACGTTATTGTAAACGTTTCGTTAGCAATCACTTGGCCCACTTCTCGTTTCTGACAACTTGAGATACCCGGAATTGATTGCTGCGTGTAAAGATCAATTTTTGATGCATATATTTTTGTAAATATACGCCACGATAGCTATAAGAGATCCATATTAATACCATATTAATATTACTGTACATATACAATGAGAGCTTTTTTTAGTTTTTCATACTTATCGTTTAAATAGCAATCGTTTATTTGCAATATGCAATATTCAATATTTAATTGATAAACATAATTGGCAGAAATAGCAATATAAATTATGAATCTGAGCGAGAATTTAAAACTTTAACATATCAATTACCGTGTATGATTATTTCCGCGTGATATAAAACTCGTTTCCTTTTTTTACGAAATTATAAAAATATAACAAGAAAATAATCAAATATTAAATATTAATATTAATATTATAAATATACTGTTAAATATTTTTACAAATCTTTTTGTCGCTTAATGCGGAAGATATAATAATATTACTGACCTGTTCTATGACACATAAATATTTATAAAATTATACAAAGCGGGACAAAGCGGAAATCAGACCGTAAAACCTCTAACAAGATCTAGTTTTGATACTCGTTTAAATGGAAAATTGACAACGATCGCGAACGAACCGTTCGTGATGCGCGTCCGCCGGATTCCAGCGCATTCCATTCCATTTCATTCCAGCGAGACTTCTCCGAAGAGACCCGAGCATCTAATCAGTTCAACGGAAGTTCGCTCCTTTTCGTTCCTTCGTCGGTCTCATATCTCTCTTCTCTTTTCTCTTTTTCCGCCGCTTTTTCCTGCTGTGTTTACCATCCTATCTCTCTGGTTGTTAGGTCGATTTTATGCCGTGCGCGGGTTCAACCGAACGCAAATAACGTATCGCCGATTTCGTTTTAATATCAAGTCGCGCCGGGGAGAGAGAAAGAAAGAGAGAAATGTCTCGTGACAGGTTGCAATGACGAGCGATTTAGGACAACAACAATTCAACTTATCCAATCTCTCCGCGCGCGCGGGCATCTGCCGTGATTCCAGCGGCATTTTTGTATCATCGTGTTTCCGTTGTGTAGAATACGATCGTAGAGTTATAAACGTGCGGTTCGTTACGTCACATGTTCGAGTAGAACTTTTCAAGAAGCAACTATCTCTCCTGAAAACTATCCGGGATCGTTTATCGTTTCCGGCGATTATTTCCGCAGAGAAATGTTTCGTGTTACCGCTTGAGGAGTGCGACTCTCGAGATACTTACAGCGAGTATTTCTCGTCGGGTAATCGTGCGAACGGTTCTCCACCTTTTATAAAGTTTCTTCGCTCTCTGAATGCGATTTTAACTATGGATTGAATTTCAACTCACATCGTTTATTGCATGAATTTCATTCTCTTGCAGCTATTCATATTTTTTGATATATTTTCATATAAATATTTATGTTTCTGTCTTATTTTTTAATCACACTCGCCTTTTGATTAATTCCTTCTTTTATAATATTAATCAGTCTTCAAGAATATCATCTAAATCAAGATGAAGTAATTGTTATTATTATCATCACATACACAAATTATTCTTTTATATATAAAAAATCGACTTTTTTTTACATAAATTAAATATTTTGTATACTTCTCTTGAATTTTTTTTATTCTTATATTTATTTTTATTAGAGAAAAATATATAATCCTTTGGTTTTCTTTCGCATCGAAGCAGTAGAATCGAATAATGCGTCACGTAGAAAGAACATGGATAGCGATACTGAAAAATGATCTCTCCTTTTCATTCTCTTCATCGATTACGAGGTCGCGTAATAGACGAGACCTTACATGGCTCGCTTGTTTTTCCCATGTATGAAGAGAGAGAGAGATTCGCCTCATTTTCCATCGGCATTCGCGGGATTCCCGAGCCGAATCGGACGGCTACGTGTTTCATATTGTCGGCTCCGATTCTCGGCAGCATCACGAGTTTGGGAATCAAAAGTACCGCCGGGAGATGTAGACACTCCCAATACGGTTCGTCACGGAGTGGCCTCGTCATCGCGCGGACGAGGATAAACGTGTGTCCCGATGACTCTGCGATTTGATGATCGGACTCGATCATCGACTCACCGATGGGGCGGCGGTTACGAGTGCATCCCGTGAGAGAGATCCGTCGATCTCTCTTCTGGTAGCTCGGTATCGAAAAAATGATTTCGATCAGTTTGCTCGATCTCAAATTCCGTCCTGATATTCAAATTTAAGATTCGCTTACGCGATGAGTTTTTCGTAATATATCATTATTATATGCTTAGAAAAATAACAGTATTGAAGTAACACGTTTAGTATTATCAATAATTTTAAGTATGAAATTGAAGATAGGCTTCGTCCGTAAGATTTATCAAATTTTATATTCATGCTTATTGATTCCAAAAGAGATTATTAATTAGTATACGTTGTTCAGCAGCAATAAAATATTATTGTTACATTTCTTTTCTCTCTATATATGTTAAGAGTTATTTTTATCTCAAAAATTCTTATAATGATATATATTTAATTTATCATAAGTGTATAGTTAATAGATTTGATGATTCGAATTAGATGTCGCGCCCTTAACAATATTTAAATCAATCATTCTGCAAAAGAGCGAATATACGGTGAATTTATGCGCGAGTTATTTACAGTTGCGTAATAATCAATTACAACCTCGATATTTATATTTCGATTTTTGTCATTCGAAGAAGAGAAGAGGCATCCGAGCCAAACGTACGCGTTCCGCGTGTGCTACCCGCTCGTCTTGGAATCTCACCTAGACACACAAGAGATTAGAGGCCCCTGGCATCGTTAGGGTAAAAATGGGGAAGGGGGATCTCGGGTGCCAGGACCCCCCACGGTGAGCAGGATTGCCCCCAGCAGGGCGCTAAACATCTCCGACTCTCGGCTTTTAAAACAAAACGCAACCACGTCGCCGCCGGAACCTAGTCGTTTCGTGCTTAATCGTGCCGCATTAATTACACGAACGCCGGGTATGTTCGTTTCTTCTGCTTCTCCGCTTCAATCTTTTCCTCTTTTTCTCTTTGGCCGACAAACAAGATTCTCCCGCGCCTTCGACATGCCATGTATAGATACTTCCTCGAGCGAATCGTTCTTTAAACTTTTTCAAACTTAGTGATTGTAATTGAAAATTTGATATAAAAAGAATTAAATGTTAAAGATAAAAGTCTCAAGGCAAAACACTTTTGTATATAATAATATTTTATATATATATA